AGTTCTGTTACGTTACCACAATGTGGTAATACCTCCCCTCCTGGATGAATAGCTTAAAGTGGGTCAGCATACCTATATCTTTCTGGTGACATTTTTACTCCCTATTTTCTGATGGCATAATGGAGATTGAAAGCTTACTATTTAAGCAGACATTAACTGTTCTGAATAATGTATTTAAGTTTTCCGGATAGCAACAACCACCTCCCATTTCTGGCATCAATCATTTCCTCTAGTGCCCTAGATGCTGCAGTGGATGTTTGTAAAATCTGGAACTCAAGCAAGTAAAGTGATCATGAGGTAAAGACAAGGGCCAAGTTAAAAGGTAAATTGTCTATTTGAAATCCTATTTACAACACCATATGTGTTTTCTTTCCAGTTTGCATTCAATAGTTGATCCTCACTCAAAATGTAGGACCAACTCAAATTGTGTTCTTATTTTTCCCTGTTTCACTCCTGGTGGCCTCATCTAAAACTGCACATTGGACAGCAACTGATGCTATTAAAAAGGTCTTTGCAGCAGCAGCAGCAGCAGATTCGACCATTCCTTACCCATTCTCATAGTGAAGATGTTGAGAACTCCAGAAACCCCTCAACAGTCTTGTACTATTATTTTTTAAAAATTGCAAACATAGACAAATATCTGACCTCAGGACTGTAGTCCTACATTTGACAGCTGCAGCAATGATATATTTGAAGTTGTTGACTGGTTCACTTTTTATCAATAGGGTGGGTGAGGAAGTAAAACAAACAAACCATTGAACTTTGGTTTACTAAAGAAGGTTTAAAAATTACCTAATCAATTTGGCAGTTCAAAAATAAGCCAAATGCTACTTTAGAGAAGCCATTGCAGAAAAAAATTTATACATTCAGCATTTGTAATAGTCAGTGAAAGAGATTATTCTTTCTGATAAGCATGTAAAAAATGATAATCACTAACGTAAAGCAAAGTTGCAAACTATGCTAATATGAGAACAGAAGTCAGGCAACAAATCACAATACTGAAAATGTGATGGTTGTCTCTGCTATTTTACAGCATCGCCATGCAAAGCATTGGAGAATATATTTGTCCATAATGTTTCCTACTAGCTGAAGATTGAAACAAACCTGGAACTTCCTGATGTGTACAGGGCAGTTTCCCACTAAATGGATCTTTCCCAAATGATTAACCAACATTTTTCTGTATTTGGTAATCTTTTCTGCTTCTGATCAAAACGCATATATGAAAGGTAATGGCATCCATATTTGGAGATTGGATAGACTGAGGTGGCTTTCCTTGGAGATTGAAGGGGTGATATGCTTGAGATGTGTAAAATTATAGGCAGCATACATTGGGTAAACAGGAATTACCTTTCCATTTGGTGGAGGGGTCAATGACAAGGGGGCATGGATTCAAGGTACAAGGCAAAGGGTTTAGAGGGGACATCTTTCATTTTTCTTCCAGAGAGTGCTGGGATCTGGAACTTGCTGCTTGTTAGAGTGGTATTGCAGAAACCCTCATAATATTGAAGTAGTATCTAGAAATGCACTTGCAATGCTAAAGCACACAAGGTGATGAGCCAAGTGCTAGAAAATAGGATTGGAATAGTCAGGCGCTCATTTCTGACTGGCACAGACTTAATAGGCCAAACAGCCTTTTTCTGTGCTGTCAACCTCTGTGTCCTTGTGACCATGACCCCCATCCCCCAACCCTGACTACTATCTCTAAATTGTTAGACTACTTATCTTATGTTGACAAATGGATGAGTAAAAATTTCCTCTAACTAAATACTGATATTCCAAATGAAGTTCATTGGACTCAAAATGTCAACTCTATTCCCCTCTCCAAAGATGTTGCTGGACCTGCCGTCTCTAACAGTTTTCATTTCGGATTTCGAACATCTGCAGTATTTTGCTTTTAAATATTAAGACTGAAACCACTGCCACAAACTCCTTTTGCTACTAACTCAATCCTGCTACTGTATCAGATCATTCATAACTTTACTACTATATCTGATCCAATAATGAGTTTCCAAGTGCATGTCCAGTGTCACTGCCAAGTACTTCCACCTTATAACAGTACCTCGCCTCAGCACACCTACTGCTAATATCATCCATGCCTTACTTATAGACTCGAATTTTCCACCACACACCTGACCAGCTTTCTGTCTTCTACCCTCCAAAAACTAAAGCCTACCTACATCCTAATTTGCACCATGTTCCATTACCCACTGCTCCTGAACTTCACTGAATTCCAAGTTGAGCAAAGCTGCAGTTTTAAATTTTTAATCCCCATTTTTAGGACGCTGTTGGCTCCTTCTTACCTGTGTAGTTTCCTCTACAACACTCCAAGACATCTGCAAGCCCCCTTTTTGCGCATCACTGATTTTAATTGCTCAACCAATGGCAACCACGCCTTCAGTTGCTGAAGCCATGATCTCCAATTCTCTGCAAACTTCTTGGTCTCTCTTCCTTTCATTTCTCCTTCAAGATGCTGCTTAAAACTGTTGGTCATCTGCACTAATATCTCATTAAGTGAATCAGTGTCAAATGTTGTTTAATAGTGCTTAAGCACCCGATGACATTTTACACATTAAAAACATTATATAAATGCATATCTCATTTCCATTTATAAAGGAAAAAGAACAAAATTAGAGGCCATCAATGCAATGCAAGATAGTCACCAAAGAAAACAGACAATTCAAGAAACTTCTTTACAAGTGGGCAGTGAGAATGTGAGAATCGCTGAGTAGTTGGGTTGAAAAGTATAGATGCATTTAAGAGAAAATTAGAAAGAGAATAGAAGGGCCTACTGATAAGAGTCAGATAAGGAAGGATGGGAGGAAGCGTGAGTAGGGCACAAATGCAGGCACGGACTGGATGGGTTGAATAGTTAATTTCTGTGCTGTATATAGTCCTGTAGTATCATCTCATCATATCTCATTGGCAGTTGGGGAAGACCAATCTGTCTGCCACATTTCCCTGTACTGCCACAGCAAATTATTGGCTGCAAAGTGCTTTAGGATGAGGTCATAAAAGATACTTTAGAAATGCAAATTTATTTTCCTCTTCTAAATATTTTCTTTAAAATCCAGAACTGAGTAACTCAAATTTCAAATGGCTTAAAATTCCTTTTAAATGCTCATACAAGCCTGCAATAAATATAGGCTGGACCCACATTTATTGCCCATCCCTAGTTGTCCTTGAGGGGTTGTGGTGAGCCACCTTCTCGAATCACTGCATTTATATGTCGCTGTATAGACAATTCTAGATTGGAGGGAACAACTGCTAGAAGGTAAAATATACAGCTACAATGAATCAAATGATAAACATTTGCTATTACTAATAGATACATCAATCTCAGTTCTGCTTTTAAACAAGGAACACATTTTGATAACCTCTTAAAACAAATCATATCTCCATTTATTAAGCAGATATTTGAATTTTTTCATTCCTTGCAATTACAAATCTACACTAAGTTTCTCAAATAATTCGGGACATATTAGCAGCACATGAACTACTATTAAAAAAACCTCCCAGTTCATCACTTTTGAAAAATCTCTACTAGAAAAGGGGAAACCAGCCACATGAATTAAAGAAAAGAGACTGAAAAACCACTGATATTCTATAACCAACATGTTATTTCAGTCGTAGATCTGTACGATTGGGTCACAAGTCTCAATTATCTTTGAAATGTGGTTGCTAGTTGGAAAACAAAAAACTACATTTATTTTAGAGCAGGACACAAAGTAATTGTAAGTGCAAGATTTCCAACAAAAGCTCCTCAACAAAAATCATAAATCGCCTTCTGATAGATCTGTTATGCTTTCAACCACCGTCAGTTTGAGAGTTTTCATTCTCTCCACAGCTAGCACCTCACTCACTTCCGCCAATACCGTTCTTAAAATGTGTATCTTTTTGATTACACCATCAGTAACCTTTCCTACTTCTCACAAAAATACACCTTTTTCTGTTAAAAAGAACATCACAAGCCTAATTCCCTGACCACTTAAGGCAAGACTGGACATTAAAGAACAAACACATCAGTTAAAAACCAAAACAACTGCGGATGCAGTAAATCAGAAACAAAAACAAAGTTGCTGGAAAAGCTCAGCAGGTCTGGCAGCATCTATGGAGGAGAAAACAGAGTTAACGTTTCGGGTCCGGTGACCCTTCCTCAGTAAGCTCAGCAGGTGTGGCAGCATCTATGAAGAAAAATGAGAGTTAATGTTTTGGGTTCTGTGAACCTTCCTCAGAACTGCTGAGCTTTTCCAGCAACTTCTGTTGTTGTTCCTGATTTACAGCATCCACAATTCTTTCGGTGGACATTAAAGAAGTCTTGTGAAATCAATGTCCATTCTGAAATAAAAAAATTGCTTGTGGCCACATTTCTTGGATACAACTCCACTAATTTAGCAGCCAGTAGGAAAGCATCAAAAATTTCTAATCGTCAGGCATGTCCTGTACGAAGTAACTTCCTTTGACGAAAGCCATTCTTTAAAAATGAATACAATTTCCTGATTAAATAGAACTGCAATATATTTTTTAATATTGCACATTCTCACAATAAAAACCAAAGAACAGCGATACTGGAAACCAGAAACAAAAATAGAAATTGCTGGGAAAGCTTACAATATCTGTGGAGAGAAAGCAGTGTTAATATTTCGGGTCTATAGACCCTTCTTCAGAACTCCAATTCTCACCTTTGCTTCAGTGCAAGTCCACTCGGCCCCATCTTAAAAGTTTTAGAAGTGACTCCTACCATCTCTTCAAATGTTGACAGTTCACATCGCGCTCGGCTGGAGTTGACAAACACTCTCCATAAAAGTAAGAATGGAGGCTGTTTAAACGGGACAAAGTTCAAGGAGGCAATTGGATTATACCGGAGGTGAATGTTATTCCATATTCAAAGAGTGAGCCCAACTACACTAAGCATTTTATGATATTATGAGAAAGAATGGTGTTCCTTGTTTATCATTCTGCGATCCGAGCAGATAGATAAACATCGTTCTACTTTGACTCACCTCTGAGAAGAGCCATGCTATGGGACCTCCTCCACTCAAAATCCTTCACTGTCAAACACTGAGACAGCTTTCACCTACAGTCATTCTCCATCCGGGAGACAACATTCACTACACTGGCCCTCATCACAATTATCAAACGCCTCATTGCAGCACAAAATAAAACAGAGGCCTTACAAAAGAACAAAATCCTGTGGCATAATTTAACTGAATAATTTAATTAAATTTCCCCTATGAGGCAAAGGGCGGATGACGAAATCTCGAAACAGAATGGTAAAATACATAATCTGGTAACTTTATGATCGACAGGGAGTCCATTTAAAACACGCATAGCTGATGATTGACATTTAAATAGACCGGTAGCAACAGGGAGTCCTGCTCAGTAGGCGGGGTTCTGGTCAGACAGGCGGGGAGGCGACAGGTTTTGCGCATGCGCAGCGGCGGACGGCGCGGCTTAGTTTGAGGCGCGTGAGGTAGTTTGAAAGTTTTGCTTAAAAATAACAGAAACGGTGGTTAGGCTGAGAGGAGTCGAGTTGGGCTTTTTTTCAGTGAGGAGAGGGACTAAAAACGGCTCAGTTCTTGATTTGTCTGACTGAGTGAGTGTGAAATCCTTTCCCAGATGAGCCTGTCTATTTTCCTTATAAGATCGGGCCCTTGTTTGAGGAGCCGGAGATGATTAAACTAACTTTTCGTGATGGGACCGTGTGAGTGAATGAGTGGCTGTGTGCATCATTTTAAATTTAATCTTGGTGTTTAAAGTAGGTTCAAGGAGTTGGGAGAGCAGGAGTGAATAATAACTTTAATCTGTCTTCCTTTTTGGGTGATTTTATTTGGAGGTCACTTTCTTGGGAACGAACTTTTATATCTGGTTGATTTGGATAGGAAGTGGGGTGGATGTGGGGATTTGTTTCAGGCAGGTGTTTGATATGTAAAATGTGGTCGATGATGACTAGCCCACTGCGCAATCCGAGTTCCACAATGAACCTTAATGATGGAATTAGTGCTGGAAAATGTCTGAGACCCGCATATGAACAATAATATTAGGTTGAATGATGGGATTTTCTTAGGTAGGGCACTGTCAGATATTCATGAAGGCGTCTGAATGGGTATATTGTTTCCAAACTAAACTAATCCCATCTGCCTGCGTTTGGCCCATATCACTCCAAACTCTTCCTGTTCATGTATGTATTTAAATGTTATGTTTGTATCTGCATCTACCACTTTCCCTGGCAGTTTATTCTACACACTAACCACTTTATTTTTTAAAAAAGAAAGTTGCCCCTAATGTCCTCTTTTACATCTTTCTCCTCTTGCCTTAAGAGTATGCCCCCTAGTTTTGAAGTCCCCCACCTTAGGGAAAGACCTTTGCTATTCATCTTATCTATGCCCCTAATGATCTTAAAAACTAAGGTCAGCCCTCAATCTCTTACCCTCCAGTGGAAAAATGTCCCAGCCTAACTTAATCCTCAAATTTTTGATTCCCAGTAACATCCTGGTAAATCATTTCTGAGAAAGAGTCACTCGACCCAAAATATTAACTCTGATTTTGTTCCACAGGTGCTGCCAGACCTGCTCAGCTTTTCCAGCAATTTGTTTTTGTTTCTGACTTCCAGCATCTACAGTTCTTTCAGTTGTTAAATCTTTTCTAAACCTGTCCAGTTTAAAAATATCCTTCCTATAACAGGGTGACCAGAACTGACACAGTATTCCAGAAGAGGCCTCGCCAACATCCTGTACAATGTGACATGCCAACTCCTATACCATTCTGAGGAAGGGTCACTGACCTGAACATTAATTCTGATTTCTCTTCTCAGATGCTGCCAGACCTGCAGAGCTTTTCTGGCAATTTCTGTTTTTGTTCCAATACTCAAAGGTCTGAGCAGGAAAGCCAAGCGTGCTAAACTCCTTAACCACCCTGTCTACCTATGACACAAATCTACCAACATCACAAACTTCTGTGCAATTGAAAAAGGAATGGAAGCCAATTTAGTGGCTATGATTTTTTTTTTAAACACGCAATTGACCCATCCTCCATGCTGCTTAAAGAAAAACCAAAAGAACTGCGGATGTTGTAAATCGGAGGCATAAATAGAAATTGCTGGAAAAGTTGAGTAGGTCTGGCAGCATCTGTGGAGAGAAATCAGAGTTAACATTTTGGGTCAAATGGAGCCTTCTTTCTGAGGAAGAGTCACTGAACCTGAACTGTTAACTCTGATTTTCTCCACAAATACTGGCAGACCTGCTGACCTTTGCAGAAATTTCTATTTTTGTTTCAATGCTATGTATGTTATTGTGCACATGTATGTTAAATGTGTTCAAATTTTACTAAGTATATTAGATGAGGGCAGATGTTGTGTTTGGTTCTGATACCCTTTGTTAAGTTTAAATTGCCTGCTGGCACTGTCAAGGAAATGGGAAATGTGGAATCATCAATACACTGTTAAATTCACTGACATTTGAAAATGAACCCAGCTTAAGTCGATGCCTTTTGCATGGAAGAGACTTTTCTTGGAGCTGAAGATTTATGTTCTCCATGTGTTGTCTGTCTTTTGTCCTCACCCAGTTATCTACGAATCTCGGCAGCCCAAGCTTGTGGTCTGCTTGACTAAAAGGGCCATTTCAATTGGATGTTTACCCACTGCACTTCACAGATTATGATACAGGTTGTCAAGAATAGGCACTCTGAATATTTTTTCTATCTCATATACAGGGATGCAAAGGATAGTTTAGCACTGCCATGTGATAACTGTGGATGTTTAATACTTTAATGCAGATTAAACCTAGGCTTTGGCTGAATACTATGCTGGACTGTATTTTCCAATTGAGATATGAATGGAACTCATTAATTTTACAAATGTGTGTAATTTCCTTACCTACTTGGAATTGAATGTATATTGCAGCAACCATGATCATTTGATAATCCCCATGTTTGTTTATTTTTAAAAAATGCCTACATGCTATTAAATTACCAACTACTTGGAGTTGAGGTTAAAATAAAAATTGTTCTGTAGCACATTCTTCCCTATCTAAATCACTGCTTCACATATCATGAATTCTGAGAAACATACAAGATTCTTAGGGGTCTTGACAGGGTAGATGTGGAAGGATTGTTTCCCCTTGTGGGAGAGTTTTAGGACAAGAGGACATAATCTGAATAAGGGGTTTCACATTTAAGACAGATGAGGAAGAATTTCTGAGGGTAGTGAATCTGTGGAATTCTTTACTGCAGAGAGCTGCTGAGGCTGGGCCAGTAAATGTGTTCAAAGCTGAGATTTTTTAATCAGTAAGGGAATACAGAGTTCTGGGGAAACCAGGAAACTGGAGTTTAGGATTGTCAGATCAACCATGATCTCATTGAATAGCCTATTTCTACTCCTACGTCTATTTGGTCATTACCAATTGTTACAAGTGTCACATTATCTGTGAAATTTTAATCACTGCACTATATAGTAATTTCTAAGTCATTGATGCATAATCATGAAGACAACTACACTACAGCTTTGTTTCCTGTCACGCAAAAAATTCATATCCATGTTGTTACTGTCCCTTTTATTCCACGAGTACTAACTTTGCTTGTAAATCTGTTGTATATACTTTATCAAATGCCTTTTTGAAGTCCATGTACGCCACATCAACAGCATCATCCTCATCAAACCTCTGATACTAAAACAAAATACCAGACAAGTTAGTTAAATGTGATTTGCACTAGTCATATTAGTTTTTTTTAAAAAAATTAATCTGCATTTGCCAAAGTGATTATTAATTTTATCCTGAATTATTCCTAAAAAAAATTCTCCATTACTGAGGTTAAGCTGATGGGCATATAGTTTCTCATCTTTATACCTTTTTGAAGAAGGGTGCAACATTTGCAATTCTCCAGTCTTCTAGCACCAACTAAGTGGAAGGAAGATTAAAAATTATGGCCAATACCTCTGCTTTCTCAATTCACTTCTCAGTAAAATTGAATGCATCTCATCCTACTGCCTTCAGTTGTGCACCACATTGTCCCACAAGAAAGAGAGAGAAAAATGTATTCAATGATTCTCATACAATCCATCTGGATGCTGTGTTTGTCATAAAACAAATTGCAGTTCAAACCCAGCAGGTCTGGCAGCAACTGTGGAGAAAAAGCAGAATTAATGTTTTGAGTTGAGGGACCATTCTTCAGAACTGATAGTCACTGTCATGTTTGAATAGCTGGTTTAAGTATGCAAGCTGTGAGATGTTAGGGTGAGGTTTGCAGCAGTGCTGTGTGTATGAAATTGGAGTGAAGCATGTGAATATGAGGTATGATTTCTGACCGATATATTGTTGGTAAGTACAGGATGGGAGTACATGCCCAAGGAAAGTGATAAAGCTGATAAGATCTAGCATTGAAAATGCAGTCACTGATTTTGACATTCATTTGAAATTTTGAAGCACTGCTGCCAGCTCCCTTGGGCTGGATCTGCTATTGACATTCAGGGATGTCTGCTCCTGCTTCCTTTTGTATGTGTGATTGAAAATCTTGGCCCCCAGCAGATCAGGACAACTTTCGTATTTTTCACTAAAGTCATAGAGTAATACAGCATGGGAACAGACCCTTCGATCCAACTTGTCCATGTCAACCAGATATACTAAACAGATCTAGTCCCATTTGCCGGCATTTGGCCCATATCCCTCTAAACCCTTCCTAATCACGTGACCGTCCGGATGCCTTTTAAATGTCGTAATTGTACATGCCTCCATCAATTCCTCTGGCAGTTCATTCCACACACCCACCACTCTCTGCATGCAAATGTTCCCCTCTCACCTTTAAAGTTATGCATCTGGTTTTGGACCCCGCACCCTGGGAAAAAGACCTTGGCTATTCACCCTATCCATTCCTCTCCTGATTCTGTAAACCTCTATAAGGTCATTCGTCAGCCTCTGACACTCCAGGGAAAGAAACCCCAGCCTATTCAGTGTGGAGCTGCAGGAACATAGCAGGCCAGGCAGTACCAGAGGAGCAGGAACGTTGACTTTTCGGGTCGGGACCCAGAAGGATTCTGATCCAAAACGTCAATTTTCCTGCTCCTCTAATGCTGCCTGGCATGCTGTGTTCCTCGAGCTCCACACTGTTGTCTCTGACTCCAGTATCTGCAGTTCTTGCTATCTCCCAGCCTATTCAGTCTCTCCCTATAGCTCAAGCCCTCCAATCACAGCAACATCCTTGTAAGTCGAAGATTGTCAAGATATGAAATTTCTTGGCAAAAAAGAACTATTGTTGCTGCAGAGACCATAACTACTTTGTTAAATATGATTGTGCCTTGAAATTTTTAAAGGTTATGCATAATGAGCCAGCTCAAAGGGCTGAATGGGATACTACTGCTCCTGATTCATTTCTTTGTGTTTTAGATTAAACTAGATAACTGAAATGGAAGTATTACACGGTGTGATATTTGAAAGATGCATCAACTGAGATTAATCAGATCATAAGGTTATGTAAATATAT